AAAGGAAACTTGACAAATTGTTAAATTCAATCTGAACATAAAACTGAAGAACATTTCCAGTATACATGATATAACCATTCATGTTAAGCCAATTCCTTCCTATGAATTCTGTACATGCAAAATTTCCTTAGACAACTCATTTCTGTGATACACATAATGAAATTTGCAAACACAGAGTGCAGAAATTGGATTTTAACTTTAATTGGAGAAGGAAAGGATTCCTTGGGTGTGTGTTTTTATGTGCATATATAGTATTTAACAGGACATCTCCCAAACTGTAAAACTGCAGTTTCTTCTCACTGAATTGATACCCAGCCAGTAGAAAACCTGAAAAGGTTCACAGGGCAGAACAGTTATAGGACACCTGCTTCTATTTTTTTTTCTTCCAAAAACAGCTTTGTCCAAAGCAAATGCTTTCAGTTCAGGAATATCCAGGCACAACAGGCGACAACCTTGGATTTCACACATCTGGGCATTTGTCACAAGCTCTTTCCAGCACTGCATTTCAACTGTCACTGCCTGAGCTCGCATCTCAAACCTTTTCCATTGGTTTCAATAAACCACCACCACACAAACACAGCTTTGCTAAACTTCAGCTTGGAGGAATAAGGCCGGCCAAACAGGGGAGTATGACCTCAAAGCCTTCCACTGAAGAAGTGAGAATGAACTCAACTCTAGTTAGTCCTTTCAGGATAATCTATGTCGAGTATAGACACGCATTAACATAGTAGTTCTGGCCATACTCAAGATGCTGTTGGAGTAAGTGCCATAGTAACGAGCAAGGCAATATAGTGAATTTTACACTGCAGCAGTTATAGCTCTCTTTTATACTTCCATTGTTTACTTCTCTCCTTACATAAAGGGTCATTTTATCCTAGAGAGATGTTATTAAACTCAAGCTGCCTGAATTGCTAATAGACTTATTTCAAAGTTAATTAGTTTAATTTCAGAATCTGGTCTTCCGCTACGTCTCTATCTGCTTGGAGCGAATCTGTAGAGACAAAAAACTGACTATACACATTCCAGAATTTTTATCGGTGTTTTAACTTTGGACTAGATAAGATCCTTAGGACTGAACGCCTGTTTTTGGCTGGTGTGTGTTACATGGAACCCTGGAGCTCACTTCTGCTGTCATTTCATCTAAAAGGAATGCAGCTCCTGTGTTTTCAAACCACCTCATGATGCAAGCCAAAACACAGTAGACATGGAGGATCAGATTTGCTTTGAAGGTACCCTATTGATCCTCTTAAAGTCTCATGGAAACATACCCTGTAATTCCTCCCTATTAGATTTCCTTACTGCCTGCAGTACTGATGTTCAATGATCAAAGTATCAATAAAGTTTCTCTTAAATTCAGTAGAGTCTTCAACTCTTCTTTTCCTGTCTGCACTGAGCACGAATGGTACCTGAGCATCCCAGCATCACACTGGACCAGGGAGAGGAAGTATACTGTGTCTGTGCATGAGCTCTCAGCGAGGACTCCCACTGAGCATTAGTCACTACTAACTCCTTCATCTCCTCATCACAGGATTATTTCCTACTAAGTATATTAGTTTTATGGCATGACTTGAGCTCTCGCTGGTATTTACAGCCCTCCCTAATGTGCTGATCCCCAAACTGGACACTATACTCCAATGTTATCTGTCAAATGCCTATCACAGGGAAAGGGTAACTTGCTCTCTACTCAAAATTCCTCATGTGAAAATTATTACCTACAGTGATTTGCAAGTTAACCACCTCTGCTTTCTCAGGCAGCCTTTCTTTTGCCAATGCAGCCTGCAGTCTCTGTTCCTAGATCACTTTACATTAAGTGATATCAAGACAACTTTCTAAATCATTACTTGGAGCTGGATGACTTCTAGCTCTTTAAAATGAAACAATCTTCCTTGATTTACCACACAGTGAATCCTACCTGAAAATATTATCAGGAAATAATCATATATAGTAATCAAGATCTTTTATAAAAATGTTGTTTAACATCAGGCAAAAAACAGGTCACTGGAAAATTCTCCAACTCATCACTTGGCTACTGCATATTTTAGAGGTAGCTATATTTTTAATTCCTTCAGTGAAACAGTTTTTAACCTATACAATATGTGGCAGGCTAGTTATTTCCTTTATGTGGCATTAAATGAAACTCCTTGAAGAAATCAAAAGAATGCCTCTATCAACAAGACCTGTAATATTACTTTTAAAAAGAATAAAATACATCTATAGTAGTTAGTAATATTTTCAGCATTTCCAAAGATAGTATACCTAACCCTTTTTAAAAATGTGGAAAAGATGTGCAATCCTTCCAATTATCCTGAATTGTCAAACCTGTTACACAAATTAACTGTTTTGAAATCTCCTCTCATTCACACCCCGAGACAATCCAAGACACAGTGTTCCTCGTATCAAAGAGAATTTGCTGGCTGTAAACACAGATTCAGCAAAAGGTAACATCTTACTATAATCTTTTCAACTTCTTAAACAGGTCCCCGTTACTCTCAGCCACGCCTAGCAAAGGAAGAGAGCATGTTGGTAGTTTTAAGACATCTTTTTCAGCCTGAGTTACATCCACAGCCTGTATCAGCAGGCATTGACACATTCTGCTTTAGAGTATCAAGATAGATTAGCCAGTAATGTGACAGTGTAATATGATTTAGTATTCATAAAAGCAAGCACTCTTCAGGAAAACCTCTGGCCTCTTTTATGTTTCCTGAATATTTTAAATTAACCAGATTTCAAGGAGCTATTAAATATTCTTCCTATACGTATTTCTGATAGCAACCATCTCTAGTACAATAAAAATCCTACTTTTTTGTTAAAAATATTTGTATTATTATAAATTGTTTTATAAGCCTAAAATTTTTCTTGTCATGTCATCATTCTGTATTTGTCAGAATAGCAGCGAACTCACAAATATCTACAACATCCTTCTTCCACAAAATATATTGTATATAATAACGAGAGGACCCTACCTTTTACTCAAAACGATTATCCAAAAGATATCTAAAAGAATACTGTGTTCTCTTTTCTCAGAGTACTTGTTTTAAATGACATTTTCTTCAGCTGCTCCTTCCAGAGCATCCACAAGATGTCACCATTGTAAAAAAAAACAAAAAAAAAAGAAAGCCCAGGTGTTGTAATGTATGACATACCCTCTTTCTTCTCTGAACCATGGATTTTACTTATTGTACATTTCTGCCAATGCAGTCCAGTGAATTTTCTTCCATATAGGGACTAAACATACTCAAAAAAAAACAAATATGGAAAAAAAACTCAAAACATGAAATTCTATTTAAAAAAATAGAAATTAAGACCCTAGTTCAACCAGTTGGTTTGAATTACCAAACACAAGAAAAACTTGACAAACAGTAAGAGTAGTAAGATAAGTAGAAACGTTTATAGTTCCAACATTGCACATAACCTACACAGAAGATACTGTCAAGTTTAGAAACTATAAAGAGAGAGTATATAGATATAAATAAATAAATAGAAATAAATAAATAGAACACAGAAGCAAGTAGGCTCCCAGGGAGCTTAAGGAAAGTCTGGCACTGCTTTGTGTTTAATAAGGAAAAACAATTATGTAGCCAAGCTAGCTCATCTGGCACAGAATTAAAAAAAAAAGTAAATTAACTGAAAACTAAGTAGGTTTGGTGAAAACGCACGTAACAGTTAAGCAAGCTATCTCTATATAGTCCTATTCACTTTAGGAAACAATAGGAATCTAGTATGCACAGAGATGCTAGATGACAAGATGGTGCTAACAGTGAAAGTTAGAATTTTAATTTTTTTTCATGCTTAAAACTTCTAATGAATACTATAGCACCGTAAATGACTAGCCTAAAAAGCTATTCCAAAGATTAGGGATTTTTCCCCATTTTGTACACAATCTGAAATGGCATGGAAGCAATGCACAAATACAATAGTGATATTCCTGCTACAAGTTCTATTCACAACTTCCTTATAGAGATTAAGTTTTCAGGACAATTTTTTTATGCACTACAATCATGAAACGTTCTGGAGGACTCAGTGACAAGTCTGCACTGTTTCCGTTCAATTACCATATTGCTAACGCACTTCCTTTTTGTGGGTGCACTGACTGCCTTTTAATGAACAACTTCATTAATTATTAAGAAATGAAATGGATTAAATCTCACGGTATCTTTGGTCTAATAGGTGTGACAGCTAATAGGAGTAAAAAAAGCCATTTCCTCTGATATGCAAAAAGAAACAGCAATAAAAGAAAAGTAGAGGCAGGAAGTAATGGGAAGAAGGCAAACTAGCAAATTAATCTGGAGGCATTTTAGTATTTGTTAAGAGAAGAATGCATAGCAAGCTAATCCAATTGAGATTTTTAACAGAAATGGTAAAGGATAAAAAGAAAAAAAAAGCAAACGTACCATAATTACAGTAAGTGAATTAAACATTTAGGATCTTAAATAATTGACCTTTAATAAGAAAAAAGTGTTTATGGTATTGGGAGTAAAACTACAGCACATGCTTACAGCACATCCATTACTCCACAGTATGTGTCCACATACACATTCGTGTGCCATCCTAACAAAACTGCTTATCTTCCTTTTTCATTGAGAGACTACAACAAATAATACACAGCTAAAAACCAGACAGTGAATACTTACTTTCTGAAGCACTAAAAATATGATGTGATGATGTTACATTAAGAAAGAAGGAAAGAAAATCAAGTCTATCAAGTCATTAAAAAAAAATTAATAGAATAGGAAATTAGGCTATGGAGGAACTTAGCCTCCAGAAGTGCTCACAGCTTTGAGTAATTACTGTTACTATTGTTTCAAACTAATGATCCAAAAAGAAGAATGCCCACCACAAAAAAGTTTAGGTCAGATCTAGGTCCACATGAAAACTTACTCCAGAAATTATTTTTTCATTTATGTTTATTCTTTAAAGATGCTAATTTGCATACTAGATAGGACACATTAAAAGTGGTTCTTTTTTAAAGATGAACTTTATTCCAGATAACAAAGCCTTACCTTGCCAGCTATCATTGCAAACACACAGCTTCTCGCCTGTCAAGTCACAGTACCCATGGTCTGGACTGCCACAGTTGGCTTTACAATACGGAATATCACAGGCTTCTCCTTTCCAGTACTTGTCACACTCACAGTACACCCGGCTTGGTAGGGACGCACTGGTTGTACACTTTCCATGTTCTGAGCAGTTATTAGGACAAGAATTAATTCTGAAAGAAATATGTAAAATAAGGGAAATGACAAGCCAAGTTCATGACAGTGGTTTTATCTGACAGTATTCTAACAGTATTTGTTAGATAAAGTACTTTTTTTCCTGAAAAATGTCCATGTACTGATAAAACATGAGTTTAATTATGATTTTACAGGCAAGTGAGCTGAAAATATGTTCATCCAGGCTTACATAGAAAGTCGATGATACAGTTAGGTTCACAAACATCTTGTACTTTACCAAGAAGTGTTGACATTAAGCAGAAGGACAGGCCCTGTCTGGACAGATCACCATCAATGTTTTCCCAATATAAGCACTCTAGTCAGTCCCTTCAAACGCTTATTATCCCTAGAAACGCCCGCACTGGAAGTGACTGTGAGCAGTAACCCTTAAACTCTCCACCATACAGTTAAAAGGTTTTCCTGAGTGGCTTTGGTCTATGCTGTAAAACAGTATGTCTAACATCCAAGAATAAAATCAGAAAAACCAAGGAAAGATACAAGATGGCTAATATCCTGAAACTATTTACAGGCAGCACTTCATGCTTTGAAACCTTAATAATAGAGCCACCTTAACCTTGCCTCCTTAACTTCATAGTCAGAGATGCAAAGAAAGGAACAATTAGGATGGAAGAAGTCTGTGACTGTTATGGGAGTTCGCATTTCTGTGATACACCCTACTAAACACTGAGATCACAGGCAACTGGACTGCAAAATTATGCAAACTCGTTCCAGAAATACAGGCAATTCCTCAGAGACAAGGAGGGATGGAAGACGTTGAGTATGTGGGTCCAACAGTCTCCACAAACAGAATATGGATCTCAGGCAGTACTTGCCTGATGAAGTCCAAAATGTATTTGAAGTCTTTTTTGATGACTCATAGCAAAGGGATGGGTTGAAAATCAGAATAAACTGTTACTACAAACCCCTGATGATGGTAATGCAGACTGCTCCCTGCAGATGTGCAAGCTGGATACTGTTCATAGTCTTCCTTGCTCTTAACAAGGGAAGAACAAACTGAAAAAGTTAGGGAAGACTTGTTCAAGGCTGGCCTTTGGCCAAATGTCCTTGTGGTAGGACAGTCAGGAGATGTGTTTTCATTTTCTAACGGCTCAGAGAACTGATTCTGTTACACTACAGAAAAAAAAAAAATCCACTTCTGAACTGCAGATGTCCAGGGGGTTTTGGCTAGTATACACAAGGCATTAAAACCATTGATAGTATTAACTGCTCTATACCACAGCCGTGAGGAACCTCTCCCCCTGACTTCATAGGGAGACTGTTCTCCAGGAAGGTGAACAGTTAAGTCTTTCCAGCAACCAAGATACCGGTTTAAAAGTAGACGTATCCCCACTCCAATGGGTTCATTAAGGATTCAAACAGAATGAGGAAAAACTGTTTTGGCAAAGCTGGAAGTAGGTTGCCTGCTCCTACTGCAAGGAACTACAAGGAACACAAAATTTACTCAGAGAGTTCTGGAGTAACTACTGTTGTTTGCAAGTGCCATGGCACAGATGCTACACTTCTGTCTTCCTCAAGACAAAGGGAAGCAAGTGATCCATCAAGACAAAGTGAAAGATCAAGTCAAAAACTGCTTTGGGTTACCAAATCAAGGAATAAAGAGGGTAACAGAAGCAGGATGTAGCATATCAGCGACAGAAAAAAAGTTAATGCAGCCATAAAAAGCAATCGTAAGTACTTTTAGCATAAAAAGGGTTACTCTTGGCTCATTAAAAAAAATTTTAGAAGTATCCATTGCACTAGAAGAAACAGAAGAACAAAGTACATAAAATGTTGTGAGTTAGATATGTAATGGAATTAAAACTGGCAGTTCATGGATTTTTAAATCTTCCAAAAAATTAGGTAATGATATGTAGCATGCACCACATTACCAAGCCATAAAAGAATGCAGAGCACATACACTCATTTCTTGAGAATGCCATGTCATATTGCCATTTGCTCCCAAGACAAACAAAAAAGGTGCAATAAAAGTTTCAGGGATAACTGAAAAAATATATCTAATTACAGTAGAGACGTCTGCATTTCACTGATGTCAACTGACAAAAATTAAAAATACCCAGTCCTCTAGATTGCCATTATTAGTGTGGTTTCCCAGACTCTGAATAGCTATTTATTATCTTGTAAAAGGTAGGCAAACTGCTGCAAATTACAGAAACAATCTCTCCATAGACAATTTAACAAAGACCTCTGCCAAGAGTAAAGCTATGTTCAGAAGCACAAATAGGAATCTTAAATAAATAAAAGAATATGACAAAAGTATTACACGTTCTTCCACATTTGAAGTGCAGTGCTGGCCACCACATCCCAAAAATTGTTATTTCAGAATCTGAAGAAATTGAAAGAAAGGAACAAGAATTATCTTCAATCATGAGAAAACTATCACATGAAGAAAGAGGTCCAACAGGACCAAGCAATTCCCTCTTGAACTAAAGCATCCAGTATAAAGAGACACAACATCACGTGTCACAAGCATGTCCCAAATGAGATAGAAGTTGCAAATCAGCAGCTAGTGCATATAAGAAGGAAAAGGCTCAGGTCCATCGGATGCATCTTTAGAGCTACTAACACAGAAAAGCAGAGTGGAGGAAAGCAAGCATAGTTATATCAGGTTAGACTTTGCCATCAGAGAAACTAAAATCAGACAGTGCAGATAAGAACTATGAAGGCAGAACACAGACTGAGATGGACAACAGGAGGGGAAAGTACCCAAGTAGTAGAGAATAAATGGAACAAAACCCTTGTAGCCAGCAAAAATATAAAAGTAGGACTTCAGTGAAGATTTCAAAAGCCATAGAAGTACTTGCAGCAAGAAACATCAAGCAACAGATGATCCTAGTTCAAAAGAAGGGAATTGACATAACAGCAGATATATCCCCCCTCTATTCCGTATGACAACTACACATGTTGGATAAATACTGGAAGGGTTACATTCTAGTTCCATATGGCATAGGAAGAACATAATCTTGGAATGGCCATGTGGCTCACTTGCAACAATATACTTTGCCTTGTTTTCTTTTTTTTTAACTAGTATATTTATGACAACTCATTACAATCCCAGGTCCCTGGTTTTAGAAACGTACCACAAGGTATAACTCTTACACTATTAATGAAATCAACAGATAACTGATAATTCCCTGGGTTTGTCATTCTCCTGAAAGGAATTATAAGTAATTACTTTGTTAATTAGCCTATTAGAAAATACTTACGAGTAAAAAATGTTAAATCCTGTTAGGTTATAAGCAGCATCACTAAAAAAGTGTAGCAATGCATAGCCAGATGTAGTAACAACTTCAGGAACAGTTTCATTTCCACGCACTTCAGGGACTATTAGGCCACTGGAAAAGAAAATGAGCACAATGTGCTTAATCAGTCTTTGGGAGAGAAAGGGGAAGGAAAAAAAAAAAAGGAAAATAGGGAGTTAGCTATTCTGGTTGTTAGTTATATAGACAAGATATCTCACAAATCTCATTTTAAAATTTTTTAAAAAACAAAGAATAAAATGCATATAAAACTCGCCCATGTCTCTGCAAGGTAAGGTAGGGATTCCCAGGAAAACAAAATAAAAAAACTTCCTCCCTCACACAGTAATGAAAAATTTCACATCAGATTATTCTGAAGGTTCATGCACTACCAGTATAATTTTAAAACTTGGTTTAACTTTGAAAAAAAAAATGTATATCCTTCAGAGAACTGCTTAACTCTCACTGCCTTTCAGCACAAATTCTATTTCCACATAATATTTGTACCTTTAGAAGTTTATCTTAAAGAATTTCAAACCTGGGAAGTATTGCAATTAATTAATTTCCATGAAAAGGTAATTTCCAATGGAAAATAAAATACTTTTTAGAACTTCAGGAAAAAAACCTGCATAAAACACTGCCACATCACAAATATGAAGTAAAAGTTATAGTAATCCCAAAGGAAACACTAACAATCAATAAACTGAAAGATATTTGAAATAAAGGACACAGGAAGAAGAATCTCCTCTTTCCTTCCATTCATTCTGCAAGTCAGGCTCCTGAGTCATAGCTAGACACATTGGGGAGGGGAAGAAAAAAAAAAACACACAAACCAAACACACACACAAAAAAGCCCCAAGCAATTATGTAACAATTCAGAATTAGGAGAGAAGAAGGTGTAGATTGCTGTAGTTGGGCAGGAAAGACTGATGCCCTGAGCTTTGTTCCCTTAGGAGAAAGCACTATCATTTATCCAGTTAGTATTCCTTAAACTTCAGCAACATAATCAGTATTTCATAACACAAAATTAAATAAAATTTCTTTGGTATTAGTTGTTATGCTTATTGTTTATTGTTGCTTTTACATTTATTTCTAAACCTTGCTACAAAGTAATAGTATGATTCTAAACAACAAATATTAACCTGAAAAAAGATTTAGTTGTGTAACAATTCTCGTAAGCTAATGATAACATAACAAAAACGAAATAAACTCCACCATTTCAGCTGACAGCAAATTTGAGCACTCCTCCAGGACTTCGAAGAATTACATAATTTTATCGACTATGACTTAGTCACAATGATGTCCAGTTTAGCAATCCAAGGAAACATGTTATAAAATTACTGCTTAAGAGAGCCTTGTATCAAATACCTACAGAAGAGGCCCCTTCTTTCTTCAAACAGCCACGTAGGAGGCATTTAGCAGCCATTTTTTCTAACTGACACATAGTCCAACATTGCCTCAGCCACGGATTGCAATTATCCCTCAAGTAGGATCAGCTACTGACACTGTTGACCAGTGCCACATTTAACGCACATTAAAACCCAGGGAGGGTTATTGGAAGCCTACTGGAAAATACATCTCTGATTGCCTGTCTACGAGCATTAACACTCCACGCAACGTCAACGTTAAGTACAAGCCACATAATGGATTTATGCTATGATCACCTAACCGAAAAAGCAGCGTTTTGCAATTTATTCTAATATAACTTTACATACACATGCCCAACATATTAACAAAAGAAAGCAAGCTATTTAACAAATTAAAGCCTCTAATGTTATTCCCCCCCCCGCAAAATAAAAATGTCCATACACAACTACTTGGATTAAAAGGCACATAAATACACTCACCTAAATACAGCTATTAAAGGCGCATATATTGAATCTCCATCATATACATACATATGGTCCCAACTACATTCTGTGGCAAAGTGATTAAATCTTAATCTTAGTATTGCATTTGGGCTGGGAAAAAAAGGAAAAAAAGAGAACACTGATATAAAACACTATTTACAAAAGAATTGAGCTCATAAGATAAAGAACTTAGAACAAAATTGATCATGCCAGCATAACTCTATTAAAACATCTGGAGTACTAACTAAAATTTCAGAAAGTTAAATAACAAAATTCAGAACAAGCAAATATTTCACTTTATCTTAGAAAACTTTAAAAATAACATCTTTGGTCCAAGTCTAATATTCCCTAAAGTTAACAAGAGACTTAAGTTCACTAGGTTTTATCAGTATTCAGAACCACAAATTTCGAGCAATTAAAATATTCCATTTTAATATACTAGGCTTTACTTCACAAAGTCAGGACTATGAGGTTTGAAAAGTCTTTCAAGACAAAAATCACCTACGCATCCTCATTCCAGTATTCTACTAGTGACTGAAAATAACAATCTTAAACCACAAAATTAAAATAGCGAGCAATATAGTGCAAGATACTTTTTTTTTTTCTCCTAACCTCACCTCACCCCACCCCACCCCCAGTCTCACACCTGGGAGTCAGATTTCACCAGTTTTTGGTAGAGATCCAGATGGGGACTGTAAGATACCTGAAAGGGGAATTTTCTCATATGACAAAATTAGCAGACTCCTAAATATATTCCACGCAACATACAAATATTTTTATATTCCCACCCACCCTCGACAGGCTCGAGTATGATTTGCCAGTTCGGAAAACACATGCTTTTTGTGAGAGATCATTTGGAGATTGCTCTTTGTTCATGTTTTAAGACAGAGTATTTTATACATATGTGACTTCCTTGTGTGTTGACATTTTGCACTATGTTACTGGGTTGCGTTACTCTTCCACATACTGTACAGCATATTGTTTCCCCCAGCTACCCTCTCTACCATCTCCTGCAAAGAGGAGGAACAGAGTGCAGACCAACTTCAAAGCAGAGTTTGTATAGTCCCAAGGCATATTCCTGAGCTAGCTTGGGTAAAAAGGGAAGTCTAGCTATGTCACAAAGATATTCCATTCTAGACTAGTCACTCAAATATTGAAGCTTCTACTGAAATGATTTTGCAAACTAACCACAACTTCATTGCTGTTGTGTTTAAATTACTGTCTGCATAAAAGCAGACCAAATTAGATCAGGTAGATCATTAATGAACAGCAGAGACAAAGCAGACATCTATGACAATATGGAAATACAGAAGGGGTAATTTTCTTCTAGAACGTCAGCAGAACTCAGACCTAGCCAAATTCTTCAGCAAAAGCCTGACCCATAGCCTGGGGGGGAAAAGTCCCACTGAAATTTAACACATTTGTGCCATTAACAGTTGCCCATACCAGTGTGTATGTCTCGTCATTTCTTTGTGCACATCTGTGTGTTTCTGTGCTGCACAAACAGCAAAATTAGCAACAGACATGAAACATCTAAGCTATTTAAAACTGTGGGCACAATATGATTTTTAAATTAAGTACATGAGGAAAACTAGAACGCAAAGAAAACACTTTATAGAAACACTAACTTTTGAGCAACATGTAACTGAGTAAATGTCATTAGACTGGAAGCATTCTGTACTTAAAGTCATTCCCAATTTATCACTGCAGAGTAAGATAATGAGTTAAATTATCGGATTTTGTAACCACATTTAGAACTTATGGAAAGGTACTCAAACAGGCAACAAATTTATCATAGGGTTTTGAGAACTTGCAGCACTGGCCAAATTCCAATGTCAGTCTATTTTTTGCCAGCAATTTGAATGGGAGTGGAATTTGGCCAACTCTGAGCAATCCTGAAAATCCTACTTCAATTTTTTTCTTTAAACCTTTATAATATTCAAACAAGAAAAAAAACAAACAAAAAACCCAAAACTGTTTATATTGTGTCCAGATGAAGTTTCTACCTGAGGAGTTGTTTAGATCTCTAGAATACACAGTACCAAACTGCCAGAAAATTTAAGCTATAAAAATAAATACTTACTGTCCTTCAATTAACCATGTACATTTAGTTTTATATTTATAATTTATTGGTCCATCTGTTAAAAATCCAGAAGGTTCTGTTAACCTACAAGAGAAAAAACAGTGCTGTAATAAACCAAATACAACAGAACAGATATCATCAACATGCCAATAGATTCTTTCTGGATGGAAAGAAAAGTGGGCGTGGGGGAGAGTTAAGTGTCTCTTCGTATTTCTTGTCACACTATTTTTGCTCATAAAAACTAGAATTCTGATTATTCTATGTCATTGATTTGCTTTCTTCCCCTAGGCAATCACAAGACTTCTAATTTTTCTAGTTCAGTAGCAAGCAAATACTACATATAATCTAAATTATCCTCCACATGAAGTGGAGCCAAGACAACATAAAGGGTTTTTTGTTTAAGAGTATTATTTTGGTGTGCTTGTTTCTTTTGCCATTGCCTTACATCTTACTTCTGAAGTCAGAACACGGCAGCAGTGGGAAAACTGTTCTAGATTGAAAGAAATTAAGGGATAAACTAAAAATTTAAATAAGCATATCTGCTAGCCTGTCCCTCTCTTCTTCCCGGTCAGTGATGCGACACAGGAAAGCAGAAAAACACTGAACCATGCAGAAAGTAAATAAAATGCATACGAAGAGCTATGAAATGGCAGACCAACACATCCACATAGCCCAGTACCCTGCCTCTGACAGTGGCCTACAGCGGATACCTGGAAAGAATTTAAATCCCTATAGATACTCCCCACAGCATTACATCCCCTCCAGCAGCTTGCAGCTCAGGGACACTCTGAGCCAGAGGTTGTGCAATTGTATTGGTTTTGGGTTAATGTTTCTCCTAGGAGTTCACCCATGCAAACTTGCAGCATCTAGAAGGTCCTGCAGGAATGATTCCCACACATATATGAAGAGACATCTCAACTATTTTTGACCGGAGACTACCTCTTGGCAATTTCATCTGACATCCTTAGGTCTGGTATTGGATGAGGAAATGAATAACAGTACCTTGTTCACATGCTTATCTCACTCAAAATGTAATGATTTGTGGTTTTTCTCTCCATTCTCTCCACTGTCCCTTTTCCAACCTGAGAAATCCTTGCTCACTTTTTCATACAGCATAACTACATTTAACCATCCACACTGCCTTTACTTAATCTTTTCTATTTTATTTTCTGTTCTCCTATAACCTGAGATGCCACACAGAGATCAGTTTCATATTCAAGATGCAAGAGAACCATGAATCTGTACAGTAGCATAATAATGATTTCCACTTTGTTCTCTATTCCCATCCTAACATTATTTGCTCTTTCAACAGCTACTATGCTGACATTTTAAACACAACTAGTTGCTATAACTTTTTTCTGAGTGATAATAGATAGTTCAAGATTCATTACATATAGAAATCATTTAATGTAGAACTAGAACCTTTTTCCTCCATTCATATATATTAATTCACTAATGTGAATCTATACAGCATGATAAAACGGCAGATGAAATTCAATAATCTATTACCATAAAAGCTTTCTGAAGGAGCATAGTATCTTCAGCACACTGTAACTTCACTATTTATGCCATTTTCTGTATTCTTTATGATTATGTTCTATAGTCCAGGCCTTAACACACATCTCTGGTGGGCTTACTCCACCAAGAAAACTGACCATCCCACTCTTTAAAATGTTACAACAACAATAACGAATATAAATACATACTCAGAAATGCTCATTTCTTTCACTATAGTGTGGAAAGAGAATCATTACGAACAAGTATCATTGAATAAGAAAAAAGAAGCAGTTGGGTTTTTCTGGCTTGTTTCAGGTTTTTTAGTAAATCAATAGACTAGATTGAAGTCTGGAGGCAATGCTGAACAAACCAACCAAGTCACAGCTAAATTTTCTCACCAGGAATCTAGCTGAACAGAAATTCCGTACCTGCTGTCCTACTATCTTTGAAGTGGTATACACCCATTTTAAAAATATTCACTGTCATATGCACTGCACATTTACATTTGCACTCATATCAAACACTAATTGCATACTTTATTAATTAATAGGGATCTGTAATACCAGACATAAAACTACAAACACGTGGAAAGGAAATAAGAACAAGGGAGCAAGAAAGAAGAATTTGGGACAAGGTCCGTGCAAACTCATCAGTTTTTAAACAAATTCCTTCACTGAACTAGCATCAGTTTGTTAGGCACACTATAAGCCACTCTGTTCCAATCACTGGCGGTTTGAAAGTTCTTTACCCACACTTTCCTTTTGATGAAATGGGACAAAGCTCTAACACCGGGAGCTGTCCAAATAATTGTACTTCAAAACATGTTCAAAGCATAAAAGCAGTATCAGCAACATATTTTATGTTTCTGCACAAAAAGAAGAAAAGCAGATAACCAATCTGGTAACATGACTAACAGACTGGGAGGAAATGAAAGAACAAACAAAAACGACAACCATATACTTCAGTCAGCTGACAGCTGAAAGAAAAATCCCCTAATAAAACACAAGACACTGAGTTGGTCTGAACGCTGCAGTACACCCCGCCAAAGGCAACGGCTCCTGGTAAGCGCCACACAAGCGCTGGTGTGGCTCACAAGCGAAGCAATGAGTGAGGCACAGCTGGTAACTCCCACTACTCCCTTACTGCGCACTGGAGAAGCCGCAGCGATGGCCATGGGGAAAGGCTACCCATGCTCCTGCCAGGTGCTCCAGTCTGAATCAATGTCTGGCCACGGAATACTTTTGCTTGAAGACAACACATGCAGTTTAAGTTTACAAAATGTCTTTTTCTTGAGAAAAATCAACTTTACCTAAAGATATACTTTCATGTTTATATACACGAGAAATGTTTTTTTCAGTGTTATTTCTGGCTTCTTTATATATTAATTACATTGTTTGGACAATGCTGAACATAATATCAACCTATAACTTAGCAGTCTAAATTGGACATCGCTGATTTTGAAATCAGAATAATATCAATGCTTGGCCCCTAGCAGAACCTTAGTAAAGCTGATTACAGGAGCAGATCCTATGTTTGAGTATGTTTGAGCACAGCTAGATTGGAGCCATTAATTTGAGGGGGAAAAAAAAAGGTAGTGATGCATAGAATTCCAACGAAAATAATTTTAGTGCTGTCATAGGGTTTATACACAGATGTAAAGTCTTATATGGCAAGACACTGAACATTTATTTTCCTGCAAGAGGTGTGAAATATCACAAGCATTTGCAGTCATGACCATTGGCTTCTTAGTAGCTGTATAATGCAATGGAGGTGACTTACAAGCGCTGTTTTTATTAGATCAGCCCTTTGGCACTAGTAAAGTGCAAACAATTTCCTTTTTCACCTAGGCTGATCATTTTTTGATAAACAGTTTCTTTCAGAAGCCTTTGAAGATAGTCTTTTCAGCAGCTATTGCACTTTGCTGAAAAAGTAAAGAATAAATAAGTGCATGACATTGCTTTGTAATAACTGTTGCAGAAAATGGTAAGATAAAGGGGCTGTTCTATTTAAAATAAATAGATAGCAAGACAGAGGAGTATTACTTTACGTTTTTTGAGTCATACCAAGAACTTCTCTGCATCATTTTTCTTTCCAAACACCATCAAATCCCAAATCCCATAAATAACACATAAATAAGCAGTACTACTTTCATGTAACCTCCTACCAGATCAAGGGCAATATTCTCTATCATACAAAGGCAAGCATTCATGGGCATCATTTTCCTCTGAGACTAACAGTGATCCTGTCAAACAACTGAAATCCAGATGGGCCAACATGACTACACACTCTTTAGTCACAGAGGTAGCATAGCCAGAACGATGCCTGCGTGCTGCTGAGAAAGCTTCGGGGATGAGGAGGCAGCCAGAACAATTTGTGTGGCCTGCTTAAGTACCGCAGGTTTATCACACGTAGACTGCAGCTTTCTAAACAGAATGCTTAGGCGAGCACCTGATGTTGTATATTGCCATTTTAAATTGCATGCCAGCTTTCATAAACACAGCAGTGTTTTTTTAGTTGGCAGGGTTACAATCAAAACCTATAAAGAATTAGGGGCGTGTGCCAAGAGAACATTTCCCTTCTCTGCATACTGCCAGATCTACCAAATTATTGAAAGAAGTCAGGATGCTGCACAGCGGAGTTAAAGGCATTCAGAAGCATCCGTGACAGACGAGTCACTCGCCAAGCTAATCAGTCAGTAACAGCCAAGGTGAAAGATATGTGGCACTATAGGTTGTTTCATCTAGCAGACACATACACCAGAAACGCACGGGCTAGAAGGCTGAAGTCAACACAGGGCAACCAAAACGTGAAGCAAAGTGAAATCTATATTCCCCTGGAATATTACCACTGTTATGAAATAATGCCAAAGATAATTGAGTTAGAATTCACAGTGGTAACATTTATATTTACCACTGCAGAGATTTTAAATCAAGAATGATGCATTTCAAGAAAAGAGAAAAGTATGTTCTAGTTCAGTCAGAAATTATTGGTTTAAAATAAAGGAGTAGTCAGATGAAATCTGCTGCCCGCAATACATAAGACGTCAGAGCAGGTTATTAAAATGGCCCTTCCTGGCTGTAATATTTATAGATCTGTGAAAAATGCAGTCATGTCATCTCCTGTATCTTCCTGTAAAAAAAATTAGTATCATCAAATCTTTCTGAAAGGAGCACTAATTTAAACCATTGGGTATTTCCTGTCATCAGCAAAACATGGAAATCCACAAAACTGCTGGTTGATGGACAGGCAGAGGTCTGATTTATAATACAGGTATATTAGGAGAAACAAAGCATAAGGCACATTCATAATATTACAAATATTCACTGTTAAATAAAAGAACGGTGTATGCAGAGGTTCATTTATCTCTATATTACTTAGTGTCACATTTCTATTCAGAATTTTATGAAATGCTGGATTACTTCGCAAGTCCTACTTCAGATATTTCTGAATATAAGAGACAGAGCATATTTTGCTATATGGAGTCATCTCAATATCAGTATTTGTGTGTCAGTCAAGGACTATTCTCTCCATCATTGCAAAGTTTTCCTCCATATCCTTTTTCATCTTTGATGAAAATTTGTTTTATT